GGTTTAGGGTTTAGGGTTCAAGAGCCATAAAGAGCCTCCTGAGCCTGGGCATTTTGTGAGTGTGTGGGGCATGCCACTGCAGCTATGTGTGCGGAAATGTAGGGGCCTAAACGATTACCTACACTATTTTGGGGGGTTCCTTATTGGAATTATAGACAAATGGGCCCCAAAACCCTTTTCTAATTATTAAGGCCCACATATTTCCACAGGGTCATGGAAGGCAGATGTAGGCACATCTCACAATATCACAAACTTGGAACCCCACGCATGCCACTACACTCCGAATTCCACTAAACCCTTGATTCCGTCGAGATCTTGAAGATCACATCGATAAGATCCCTTGCAGAAAAGGCACGTTGCTCTGGAGTTTTCACTAGCTGGTGTACAGCCAGCATCGCCACCTGGAATGCTTCAGTCCCTCCACGGTTCGACTTGTTGTGAGAGAGAGGGGTCTCGAGATGTTGGCGGAAAACTCGCCCAACCGAGGCCAGCCAAACCTCGGCACCCTGAAAGCGTGTCCCTCGCAACTCCAGGCAATGTGCAAAGACCACAGGGAGCCGTCCGTTTTCAAGTGCTGCAGCCAAGGAGCCAGGTAGAACACGCCCTTGGCACATGCACATGTGGATTTCATGCAAGCCGAAGACAGTGACCGGCGCTACCACAGCAACTCTCCGACGGAAAGGCGAGCTTCTTATTAAGTCCTATATCAGGGTCCCTCATTTTCTGAAACTCCCTAAACCCTAAACCGGTCGAAGGTGCTGTTATGCTCCAGAGAACCGGCCGCATCTTGGCACATTCCGGGATCACCACTGGCGAGACCATGACGAGCCTCGTAGGTGGGTTTAGGGGTTGAGGGTTTAGGGGTTGAGGGTTTGAGGGGTTTAGGGGTTTAGAGTTTAGGGGTTGAGGGTTTGAGGGGTTTAGGGTTTAGGGGTTTAGGGTTTAGGGTTTTGGGGTTTGGGGTTTAGGGGCTTAGGGTTTAGGGTTTAGGGGATACTGGGCTCGATGATTTCTTCAGGTTTCCAGCTGGGCATTTACAAAGGCTTGGCTGGAAGGCTTGGGGCAGTCCGGACCTGGGTGCAGGGAGAACAAGGTTACTTAAAGGATCATGGGTATGAGTAAGTAGGTTTATAATTAGGGTAACTATCTATACTGATAACCCCAATTAAGGGACTTGTAACCTTACTTACTAAGTCCCATGATCCTCCAAGTGGTCTTTAAACCGGACAGAGGTTAGGAGAAGTGCCCCATCGTTCTAGAGGCTTTCTGCAGCTTGATGCTGCGACTTGTAGAATCCATGTTGACAGGATCCGGAGCAAAACACTCCTTGCGGCTGTCAGAATCGGGATTCGGGTGCTAGCTGCTAGCTGCCTGCGCCGGAGTCCTTACTTGACCACGCTTGGGGATTCAACTGCACACCCCCAAATCCGAGGTTTAAGTGTGGAAGGTTTCTGGTACGATATCTAAACGAACAAATATGTCCGGAAGTTGTGGTACCAACGGACGGCTCGAATGACCACAGCGACCCGGTAGCGCATTACGAAACTGCTGTTTTGCCTTCGATGTACTGCAGGGGCCTACATAATTACCCATACTATGTTGGGGGTTCCTTATTATTATAATTCTAGTATAATGGGCCCCATGACCATAATTACCCATACTATGTTGGGGGTTCCTCACTATAATTCTAGTATAATATGCCCGAAGACCCTATTCTAATGAATATTATTGTTATTATTATTATTATTACTATTAAGCCCTCTATATTCACCGGCCCCTGAACTGCAAACTCTCTCGCCCACCGCCAACCGTGGGAGCTAGCACCGCCATGGATTTCGAAACCAAACCCTCAACCGAAGCACTTACTTAGGGTTTAGGGTTTAGGG